ACATCAAATGGGGCCTTCACAATCCCTTTGAAAGGGTATTGATCAGTTTCAAAAATGGCGGCCTGCTAGGGGATTGGGTGGAGAGTCTCTGCAGAGAAATCATATTAGATGCTAGAATATGACAACATGGAGAGGGCCAGTCAGTGGATAATGATTCGTATTAACCAAGGAGATAACCAAAGGGAAAAATAAAACTGGGAAAAGGAAAAGTGCGGATGGAGAGCTGAAGCCCAATGTATTTACTGAGCACACTGTACTAGGTGTGGCCAGAGGATTTAAGGTCGTGCTGAGACCACAACTGCGGATAATGGGAGTCTGCGAATCTCACACCCTTAATGTGGCACAGTGACCAGTGGATCCAAGAGGAAAAGCTGGATTGGCTTTTGGTGACTGCTGAAAATTGAGACTGCCTGGCTGCACTGGAGGAGACTGTGAGAAGCTCCGGAGCTCCAAAACCGGACACTGTGCAGTTTTCTGACCGATCCACGCTTTGCCGGGAATGCAGTGAAGACAAGGTGCAATGTGCAGTGGACCCAAGAGGAAAATCTGCATTGAGTCCTGGTGAGTACTAGGGACTGGGTCCCGCAGCTGCTGTCATTGGCTGGAGGACATCTTGGAATTGGGCAGAGCCTGGTGCCATGGTGACATCAGATAGTAGCTCCTCATGCAGAGAGGTCTGGTAGAGGACAGCTGGGATTTGGGCAGAGCCCTGTGCCATGGTGACATTAGTCAGCTGCTTTTGGCACAGAGACTACTGGCAGGATCTGCTGGGGCTGAACCACGCCTCTGGTTGGGACCCAATAAGCAAATCCAAAATAGTCATGACTCTGTGATATCCACAAGGTACAGCCTAACTTGCAGATTGACTGGCACAGAGGCTCTAGGCTAGCCTGCACCATCCCTGCATCCCTGCCTACCTCAGATAACATCAAATTGGGGAGGGTAGCAAAAACTCAAGTCAGCATGCTTTGGAAAGGCCCTAAGCAATACAGAGAGGACCAGAGACCCCCCAACCAGGACACACCAGTCTGAAAGAAACCAGAAACATGACAAGAGATAGAAATTTTTTTAAATCTCCAGGTGCCGAACATGAGAAAATAAGCCCAGGAGAGGTAAACACAGAAGAGAACCAGCACATTAACCATCCAATACTAGACACAGCATCAGCCAAAATAAATATCTTCATGACCTCATAGATGAATTTAAAACTGTACTTCCAAGTGAGGCAAGATATAAAGAGATTAATTAAAGAAATAAGCCCCGCCCAAGAGAACACAGATGGAAGAACGGAGGAAATCAGAAAAGAAAGAGAAACCTCTGATAAACATAACTTAGAATACATAAAACAGATCCAAAGAGATGATCAGGAAACTAAAAACTCCATTGAACACTGGCAAAATGCCTTGACAGAAACTAAAGTTAGCCTTTTGAAACTTGAAGAGAGATTTATAATATATGATCATGAAAGAAAAGACCTCTTAAAAATAATGAGAAACCAGAAATAAACAGTTCAAAGGCAAAAGGATACATAACTTAAGAATAAAGCATGTGAGCAAGGAAGCAGGTGCAACCAAAAATAAAATACAAAGAATATTCACAGATATATTAAAGGAAAACTTCCCAAGCATAGGAAAAAGAAATGATGTCCAAATAAATGAGGCATACAGAACTCCAACTCCCTACAACCAAAACAGATCTACACCCAGACATATAATAATCAAGATTCCAGAAATCCACCAAAAGGACAGAATACTAAAAGCAGCCAGGGAAAAGAAGCAGATTACCTACAATGGGCAAGTTATCAAAATAACAATAGACTTATCAACACAAACTCTCAAATTGAGAAGGGCCTGGGGGGAAATAGTCTAACCCTGAAAGAAAATAACTTTTAAACCAAGACTGATGTACCCAGAAAAACTCTCTCTCAAAATTAGTGGAGAAATAAGATGTTTCCAAGACAAGGAAGAACTGTGGGAATTCATGGCCACCAACCCAACCCTACAGAGAGTGCTGAAGGACATTCCAGAGAAAGAGAGGAAGGGATACCAGGATTCCAGCAACAGTGGCAGAGAGGCCTCAATGAATGGGGCAGACAGTGGAATGAAGGAATAAGGTAAAATGGAGTAGCAGACATGAGGCAGAGACAGTAAACTATAATCTTTAGTATAGATAGCTTTGATACACTATAAAAAAAAGGCAGAGGTCATTGTTAATAGTGTATCAGGCTTTAAAAGTCACAGTAGTCTTTTTTTTTTTGGTCTTTTTCCTTTTTATCGGTACCAGGGATCAAACTCACGATTGCCTGCTTGCAAGGCAGGCGCTTATGCTGCTGAGTTAAATCCCCAGCCCCAGTCACAGTAGTCTTATCACTCTGTTTAGTTTGAATTTAATTTATTTTGTTCCAGTCTGTCACTCATATCAGATTTTGAGGGCACAGACATCTGACCCAAAAATAGCAGGTTATACTGTGGTAACTATCCTTAATTTCCTATTAACTTAAATTGAAACCCTATATTATTTACATTGTCTTACTATAACTGATCTTATTTGAATCCAATTCATTAGACTTCAATTTTGCCTTGGCTGATTTTATTTGAATTTGGTATGCTTAATAGTATCAACCCTAAAAATAGAGGCAACTACCCTGAAGATGACAAGATGTAAAAGATATCCATATTGGTTTTGATTATTAACAGCTCTCAAGTCCTACAATGTTTGCAAAGTTATGTTTTTATAAAAATAGCTATGTAATACTATGGTTAACTATATTAAGCCTGATGATGTGGACAAGTCTATTTAAAATAACAAGAGAAGGCATACTAACTACGATAGATCACCTAATATTGTGGTCTTATGTGTCTTTTTCATTGCATATTTTTCTAGGAATTTGTTTTGCTGTCTTGTCATGATTTGTTTTTCCCTATAATACAGAGAGGATAGATATACATGTAGAAATTCACACATGGGAAGATTTTTTAAAAACTATTTACAGGAACAGATTATATAATGCAAGGTGTAATGAACAGATACTCTGAAGAGGAGACCCTAAGAAACCCAATGCTAATTCTGTAGCATTATGATATAAAATTTAGCAATACTATTATTCACTGATCAGAGTGTTATTAGTCTAGTCTCTTAAGTTCAGTTTCAGCATATGTAAAGATAAGGACAGCTACTACGAAGAGAATGAGAGACACTATGGTCGTTATTATTGTCTTCCCCAATCAGATCTTGAAGACCTAAAAAGCCTTCATCATCCTGTAATGATTTGATTAGTTCTATAATATGCAGAATGTATTTATGTATTTAATGTGCGTGAAGATGGGGACAACTATTTGGAAGAAACTAGAGACAATTAGATAAACAGTAAGGATCTCCAGTGGACTTGCTTTGAAATCTGTATTTCTTTAAATTGTTTCTTTTTGAAGTGTTTTGTTCTGTTTTGATATGTTTAATCTTACCCTCTTGAAGATAAAAAACAAGTGTGTAGGGCTGATAATCATATTACTAAGTTTTTGTTAGATCATTGAGCAGAACTGTTGGCAGTGTCACTATTTGAATGTCATTTTACATACTTTAATTTTGTAACCTGAACAACTATTTTTAAGATGACAATATGTAACTTATCAACTGTGATCTCTTACCATTTAATTTTCCTGTAATTCTGTATTATTTCTACCCTTTTTTCTCCATGTATTTTTTTTGTTTGTTTCTTTCTCTTTAAATAAAAAAAAAAAATAAAGGGTATTGAGGTACAACCAAAGAATCTAATGGAGGGCTAGGGTTTGATTCCAGGTAGCAATTAAAAATAATCTAATGAAAAACACTTGAAAGCCAACATAAAGCAACAACCAGATCTATTACATAAGCATCAACATGGATTCAAAATATGTTGTATAGAAAGAGCATAACATAGAATGTCTGATTAGGATAAACTTTAAGTAAAAACTTAAAAACACACCAAGCTTAAAAATGGACAAACTGGGCCTGTAATCCCAGCACTCAGGAGGCTGAGGCAGGAAGGTCATGAAATCAAACCTAGCCAGAGCAAGTTAGTGACTTATAAAATGTCTGTCTCAAAATAAAAATAAAAATGAGGTGATGGAGCTCAGTGCCACACCCAAGCTTCAATCCTCAGTGCTGAAAGTGGGAGCCTCTAGAAAAGGATACTAACCCCCAGTGGGACTTACCACTGGGAAAGCAGGGTTGGCTCGGCCACGGGCTTCCTCCACACCTGTAGCATTTTATTTCTTTTAAAACTGCATAAAATACATGAAGCAAATAGACAAAAGGTTAAAATTTTTAGTTCTGAGTGATAAAAATACAGATGTTTATTGTTTCATGCTTTGATTTCCTGTATTCTAAACATTTTAAATAAAACTAAAGCGTACATACATACCTAGCAAAAGTCCTCCTGATGGTATATTGCTTAGCGGCACAGCACCTGCCTGGAAAGCACAAGGTCTTGAATTCTATTCCCACTGCCAAAGAAAAAGTTCTCTACATAAATCCTTTTATTGATTATGAACTATCATACTGGAAAGAGTGGAGAGTATGAGAAAGTAAAAATAATTAAGATGTGCTATGTGCATGTACCAACTCCCCACTATGAATGCACTGGTCATGTACTGCAAATGTGTACCAGTAAAAATAAAAACTTTTTAAAGTCAAGTGAGTTCTAAATGGTCAGCCTTGATATTACTAATTTGTATTCCATTTTTTAAAAATCCAAAATGTTGTGCTGGAGGTTTTAGAACATTTGGAAACTGGTTCCACGTGTCATGTTTCAGACATCCCAGTGTAATGGAAACATTGCCACAGATAGCACAGATAGCACACCTGAAGCAAGTGCAGCCTGTACCAGCAGGACTCCTGTACACACCCATTAGTTCACCTCAGCTCCTCCTTCTCCAGTCCACTCAGCTACTCTCTGAAGGAGACAAAAAAAATTTGCCTTGAGCAGTGTCTTCATCCCCGCCCCTCTTTGCTCTTTGAGGAAATAAAACATTTATAGGTGGAGCTAAGGACACCACTTTAAAAACCTGAGTCTCCACACTTGCCTAACACTTGGGTTCCAGCGTTCTGCTCCTGCCAAGAAGCAACCAGCCACAATGATGCCTGGCGGACTGAGCGAGGCCAGACCTGCTACTCGTGAAATCCAGGAGATGGCAGATAAGGTGAGTGGAAGCATTTCAGGAAGATGTCTGATCAAAGCCTCGGTCTAATGTGTGGCTTTGTAGTAAGAGCATAGATCAACATGAAACCCAAAGCAATAGTTAGTGTGTGGCTTTGGGTAACTGAAACTGGAATACTGAGAAAGCTTGAATTACCCCAACACTACAAGAGAGACATTAACCAAGTCTCATTTCTTACTGGTGCCTTATTTTGTGTACTTGTTAAGGAAGAATTCGTACTGGACCAACTCTAAAGGTCCAGTACAAATTCCACATCTGATAGGAGGACTACTGATTAGTTAGTCATGAATGTTTCCACTCTGTAATAAAAGTTATTAACAATTTGACGCACTAGACTTTCAATGCTCTGCAGGGAGAGTTGGGTTTTGTTTTGCTTGGTTCTGTTTTTTTTTAATGGGTTGAGCAAGGAACAATATTGTAAAGGTAATCAATTACAAGCTTCTTTCCTATTTTCCTATATAGATAGTGTTTTAGTTTCTTTAGTAGAGAAGAAGACTAATATACCCTACAGGCCACCAAATTGATTATGAGGAAGATAGAACCCAATGTTTTTAGTAAGCCAATAAATTTTTAAGAGTTGTTTGATTAGCTATCACCTATATAGCTTATTATGGTGCATATTTTTGAAAGAAAAATAGGGATAAGTTATAGGCATAGCTCTGTATTTTGTGTTGTCACTTTCCTATACCATTCCTTCTTGTTTTCTCTCTAAAATGTCGTTCTATGATTTTTTTGGCAAGTCAGATCAGCTTTCAGTGTGAGTGGAAGAGATGGGATTCTTTATATTTCAGGCACTGAAAGTTCTGGAAGTAACCAATGTGTGAAACCCCGGGCTACATATTTCTCCTTCTGAACTTTTAATTTTTTAAATAAACTTTTTAGTTTAGAAAGACTTAAGCTGTACAAGAAATTTACAAAGGGAATATGGAATTCCAGTTTCAGTTTCCCCTAAAGTTATCATCTTACCTCATCCTGCCCCTTTCGTCAAAATCACTGGTAGCTAAACCGCAGACTTGTATGTGGAATTCATGCATTTGCATCACCAATATTATTTTTCATTCTGGAATTCAGGCAGGGTTCCAGGGTTTCGAGGCACCTCGCGTTGTCACATCTTGTTAGTCTCCTCTGGCCTGATCTGTGACAGTTCTTCAGCTTTCCTGGTCTTTCATGACCTTGACAGTTTTGAAGACATATTTTGTAGAAGGTCCTATTTGAGCTTCCTGGTGTTTCTCTGGGAACTATAGAATCCTAAAACAAAATAAAAATCAAGATATTGTGAGTACTGACATTGGCTTTCTCCTCAAGCCTTTCCATCAAACCTTAAAAACAAAACCCACACCTTAGTTTTTTTTGTTTTTTTAATTTTTAACTATAATTTATTGATATCTATCATTAGAAGTTTGTTTATTTTAAAAGATACTTTGAAGCTTTTTTTTCTGGTCTTTTTGAGACAGGGTTTCACTATACAGTTCAGGCTAGCCTCAAATTCACTTTGTAGACTAGGCTGGCCTCAAATCCACAACTATCTTTCTGTTTCAGCTTCCTGAGTACTGGGATTACAGGCATATGCCACCATGCCAGCTGCCTTTTAAGCTTAAAAAACATAATATTAAGTCATTCATACCTCCCCGGGAATCCCCATACCAAATCAGTATTCTCACACTTGGCTGTGCATTAAGTCACCTGTGGGTCTTGATCAAGTGCAGACCCAACACAGGAGGAGCATGGCAGGCCTGCAAGCCTGCATTTCTACCAGACCCCTAGATGCTACTACGGCTGCCACTAACCCTGACCACCTTGCCTGCACTACCTACCAACTGTGTTTGTAAAAAGAAGATAACACATCTCACCACACCAATTTCACACCTGTAAGGACTACCTGAAATAATGTGCATAAGGATGACTCGAAAATGAAAAAGAACTGTGCTTAAGTGCAGTATCATAATTGTTTACTTTAAAATGTTGCTTGAAATCATCCCTAAGTGAAAAATCCCCGAGACTCTGTGGGAACCAGAGCTACCATAAGGGGATTGGGAACAATAGAAATTTACGATGGAGAAGGTATAAGAATTTTTAACAACTTTTTAAAAGTTTATTGCCTAATTAACTAGAAGTTCGTTTGTTTGTTTGTTTGTTTGGTTGGTTGGTTGGTTGGTTGGTTGATTGACTGAGCCGAGGCTGCTCCCAAACTCTTAGACTCAAGCAAGTCTCTCACCTCAGCCTCCCAAGAAACTGGCATACAGTCATGCTCCACCATACTGACAAGATCGGGCATGTCCAGGGTGGTATGGCCAGAGACAATGCTCCACCATACTGGCTAGAACAATGCTTTTCCTCTACTGGGAACTGAACCCAGGGTCTTTGCTTTGAGCCACACCCCCAGGCTTCTTCTTACTGTTCCTGCTGCCACTGCTGCTGTTATTATTATCATCATTATTTGAAAAAAGGAGGGATGGGGATTTAGCTCAGCAACATAAGCACCTGCCTGACAAGCACAAGGTCGTGAGTTCGAATCCGGATACCACAAGAAAAAAAAAAAGAAAGAAAGAAAGAAAGAAAAAGGGTCTCACTAACTCACTAAACTACTCAGACTGGGCAGTCTTCCTGCATCAGCCTCCCAGTGCTGGGGCTGCAGACAGGCACCAGGGTACCCTGCTAGAATAATATTTTTTTAGCTACAAATTTTTTTTTTTAATCGGTACCAGGGACTGAACTCACAACCGCCTGCTTGCAAGGCAGGTACTCATGCCGCTGAGCTAAATCCCCAGCCCCAGAATAATATTTTTTTAAAAAAGAAGTTACCAGGAGGCCTTCCTTGGTTAATGACACTGTCCGTGAGCCACATTTTATGAACCTAATTTGAAAATGTGTTTCCTTCTGCTCTCCTCGCCTCCAATTTTGTCAGACAGGTGGAATAAGAAGTCGATATGGACAGTGTCACCTCTGCCCACGAAGGCACTTTCTGGTGCTTGGAGCCTTGACCCCCATGTAGCCTCTCCTTCGATCTGCATAACCCTGAGGCAGGCAGGAAGTGAACTGCGTCTGATTCTCAGATGATGACACCAAGACACAAAGTGCTTAAGAGTCATCTGGCTTAGACATTAGCGGCCCACAGACTTTTGACCCCATACTCTCCCACAGCGCCAGCACATGGAGGAGATGTGAGGGCACAGGAAACACAGAGGAGAGAGTGTGGGGAGCCCTGTCCTCACATTAGATTCACTGTGAGAAGTGTCCATCCATGAAGCACTGCAGGGTAGGCACATTTCTTGAATATCTCCTATGTGTGTATGTTGAGCCAAGTTTATAAGAGCTATAGAGGCTGCAAGGGACCATCCCCGCCTTCAGGGGTTTACAGCTGAGGCAGGGAAGTTAGGATGTCTAGAACATAATCAAAAACAACACCCAACTGAGTACTTGGCAATAATCAGCTGTAGTGGTGGCGCGCTTCCTCAGGCGCTCTGCTCCCAGTTACCGATGATCTGGCCTCCTGCAGGAGACAGCCCTAAAGGACAAGTCTCACTTCAGTGGTGGGAGGAAGACCAGCAGTCAATTAAGTCTACAGTTGAGGGAGCACTTTCCCATAATTATACCAGTTTTATTCTACTATAACAACCCAAAGAGGCAGATAGTATTCTTTTTTATTCTAAAGAAAATAAAACCAAGGAAAATAAAACCGTAATGTCTTGCTATCTTTTAAATAACTGCTCATTTCATCAGATTTAACATAATCAAACAAAACAAAAAAGAATAAAAACCAACCCAACAAAATAATGAAAATGATATGGTTTCCAGGTGAGGATCACCTCCTGGTGAGGCCTGGTTCTCTCCCTCCACAGTCTACTGGGGCAGATATTATTACAACCACCTACTAAGTAAGGAAAATGAGTTAACTTCTCCAAAACTGTAGAATTAGTTTGGCAAGCAGCTACCTGATGCTGATCACCTGGAGGATCTGAGGGGTCCTAGTAAAGATCTCCAGCCTGTCCCTTACTTCAGCCTTTGCATTTTTCAATGTATTTCTACTTTTAAAAATCACCTGTTAAAATGAAATATTCTTAACAGAGCTGGCAGTAACAAGGCTTCTCTCCCCTCACCAGAGAGCTTATTAGCAGAATGCCACCTGAAGGAAGGAGCCTGTGGGGGCAGGAGTGGAGGGTTCCACACACAAGCATTCCAAATCCAAGTACAAGTGGAATTTGGATACAGTCAGAAAGAAAAGAAAGGCAAGCAAAGGGTTTGGAACTGAAAAGACTTAAGCATTTCTGAAGGCAGAAGAAAAGAACAGAGGTTCAGTGGCAGTGTATGTACTAAAGGATGCCAAGGGTGCTTGGGTCCAAAGTATACTTGAAAGAAAATCCCTTCTTCCAAGACTGTCAGTGTCAGTGCTACATCTGTCTATCCAATATTTGGGAGACAAATTATTGCAAAGAAAAACAACCATAGCCTTCTTATTCAGAAAGCATTGATTATGTAAGCAGTACTGTGCATTGTTATGGAGACAGGAGAAACAAAATGATCGTCACCTGTAGGAAATGTACCAAATAGCCTGGGGGTTAAGAAGCATAATCAATTAAAGATTAATATGTAGCCCCAGCCATGAAAAATTATGATATATAGAATGAAAAACAAATAAACTGATGGCTCCAACAGTAGAAACTTCTAGGTCATTGTTTCTGGTTCACTATCTTAAGTAGTTATGTAAAGAATGATTGGAAAGGAATTATCAGTATATTTGTGCAAATGCAAGAATAGGGCATTCACATTGAAATACAAACTGAGTGCTTTATTTTTATTTTATTTTACTTTGAAATAGAGTTTCTGTAAGTCAACAAGTTACTCAGCTTGGGCTTGATCCTTCTGCCTCACCCTCCCAGAGCGCTGTGATTATAGGTGTGCACCACATGCACCCAACAGAAGTGAGGGCTATTATTACATATGCAAATATACACACACACAACACACACACACACACACACACA